GGGCCTCTGAGTGACCCCATCACAGGCAAGCCGTACGTGCCCTTGTCGGAAGCAGAGGAGGTGCGCCTGAGCCAGAGCTTGCTGGAGCTGTGGCGGCGGCGAGGGCCGGTGTGGCAGGAGGCCCCCCAGCTACCCGTCGATCCGCACCGGGACACTATCCTCAACGCCATTGAGCAACACCCCGTGGTGGTCATCTCGGGGGACACGGGCTGCGGGAAGACCACCCGCATCCCCCAGCTGCTGCTGGAGCGCTATGTGACTGAGGGCCGCGGGGCCCGGTGCAACGTGATCATCACCCAGCCTCGCCGGATCTCCGCCGTGTCGGTGGCGCAGCGTGTCAGCCACGAACTGGGCCCTTCCCTGCGCCGGAACGTGGGCTTCCAGGTGCGCCTGGAGAGCAAACCCCCGGCCCGAGGCGGGGCGCTGCTCTTCTGCACCGTGGGCATCCTGCTGCGGAAGCTGCAGAGCAACCCCAGCCTGGAGGGTGTGAGTCACGTCATCGTGGACGAGGTCCATGAGCGGGACGTGAACACAGACTTCCTGTTAATTCTGCTCAAGGGCCTGCAGCGGCTCAACCCGGCCCTGCGGCTGGTGCTCATGAGCGCTACAGGCGATAACGAGCGCTTCTCCCGCTACTTCGGTGGCTGCCCGGTCATCAAGGTGCCCGGTTTCATGTATCCGGTCAAAGAGCACTACCTGGAGGACATCCTGGCCAAACTCGGCAAACACCAGTACCCTCACCGGCACCGGCACCATGAGGTGAGACACACCCCAACTCCTTTGTAGCCGGGTCAGCTCCCCCTCTCCCCCCTTCCCCCCTCCCCCCAAGCCTGTTGGATCGATATGAGACAGGATCGCTCGTGCCTGTGTGGCAAACACGAGCTGGAGTTGACATTGGTACAAGTGGCTCCGCCTCCCTCATGTCACCATGACCATGCCCCGTGCACACCCCTCACCCCAGCCCTGTGGCCTCTCTTTCCCCCACCCCCGCCCCCTGCCCCCCGTCACCCCAGTCTGAGGATGAATGTGCATTGGATTTGGACCTCGTGACTGATCTGGTTCTGCACATCGATGCCCGTGGGGAACCAGGTGGGTGTCTCCCCCTCCTTCCCCTGCCACGCCCCTCCATGCCCGCCTGCCCGAGCCGCTGGCTCATGGCTGCGGGGCCTTTTTTCAGGTGGCATCCTGTGCTTCCTGCCGGGTTGGCAGGAGATCAAAGGAGTGCAGCAACGCCTCCAGGAGGCCCTGGGCATGCACGAGAGCAAGTACCTCATCCTGCCAGGTGAGCACCTTCAGGCCTGGAGGGATGTGCGCACCCCCCATCCCCAACGACTTGACCTATCAGATAGGTCAAAACAAGGACTGCCCCGCCCCTAGCTTAAAATGGGGGGGGCGGGGCTGTGGTGGGAGCAGCGCCCCTAACCATTGTGTGTCTTGCTGCCCACCAGTGCACTCCAACATCCCCATGATGGACCAGAAGGCCATATTCCAGCAGCCTCCCGTTGGGGTTCGCAAGATCGTCTTGGCCACCAACATCGCTGAGACGTCCATCACGGTCAACGACATCGTGCACGTGGTGGACAGCGGCCTGCACAAGGAGGAGCGCTACGACCTCAAGACCAAGGTGGCCCCGGGTTCCCATCGGCCTGGGAATGGCTGCTTGAGTTAAAGGCCACCCTGGTGTTGTGGGATCTGTGTCCTTGGTCCCAGGCAGGGAGGGGTGACGTCGGGGAAACTGAGGAACAGCTTGTGAGCTCTGTAGCTTTCCCTTTCCCGTAGGTGTCCTGCCTAGAGACGGTGTGGGTATCAAGAGCCAATGTGATCCAGCGCCGGGGCCGGGCAGGCCGCTGCCAGTCAGGTTTCGCCTATCACCTGTTCCCTCGGAGCCGGCTGGAGAAAATGGTTCCTTTCCAAGTGCCGGAGATCCTGCGCACGCCCCTGGAGAACCTGGTGCTGCAAGCCAAGATCCACATGCCCGAGAAGACGGTGCGGCGGAGGCAGGGCCAGGGCTAAGCTCTGAGAGGTGAGGAGGGAAGGGTGGGGGTGAGTACTCATCACAGCTTTCTGCCCCCCCTCCCCCCCCAGGCAGTGGAGTTCCTCTCCAAGGCCGTGGACAGTCCGAACATCAAGGCTGTGGACGAAGCCGTGATCTTGCTCCAGGAGATCGGTGCGTGGGGCCGGGCTGTGGAGCGCCTTCCTGCCGTCCCGTCCTCATGGGCAGGGTGGGAGCTGACGGCTGAGCTGTTTGTATGGCAGGGGTGCTGGACCAGCGGGAGTACCTGACCACCCTGGGGCAGCGCCTGGCCCACATTTCTACCGACCCCCGGCTGGCCAAGGCCATCGTGCTGGCCGCCATCTTCCGCTGCCTGCACCCCCTGCTGGTGGTGGTGTCCTGCCTCACGCGGGACCCCTTCAGCAGCAGCCTGCAGAACCGGGCAGAAGTGGACAAGGTCAGCCCCCCCCCCCCAGCCCTCGGCTCATCCTGTCTGTCCCAAGGGGGAGGTCCCCAGCCCCCCGTCGTGACCGAAGCCCGTCACCCTCTCCTGGCAGGTGAAGGCGCTTTTGAGCCACGACAGCGGCAGCGACCACCTGGCCTTCGTGCGGGCCGTGGCCGGCTGGGAGGAGGTGCTGCGCTGGCAGGACCGCACTTCCCGCGAGAACTACCTGGAGGAGAACCTGCTCTACGCGCCCAGCCTGCGCTTCATCCACGGTCAGCGCCGGCCCCGCCCCGCCCCGCCCCAGACAGACCTACCTCCCTTGGGCTGGGGTGGGGGGGGGTGCCCTCTGCTCATGCTGCGCCCCCACCCCCAGGGCTCATCAAGCAGTTCTCGGAGAACATCTACGAGGCGTTCCTGGTGGGGAAGCCGTCGGACTGCACGCTGCCCTCCGCCCAGTGCAACGAGTACAGCGAGGAGGAGGAGCTGGTGAAGGGCGTGCTCATGGCCGGCCTCTACCCCAACCTCATCCAGGTGTTCTATCCGCCAGAGGGGACTGGATGGGGTCCCAGCCTTACACCCCTCCCCCATCGCCTTCCCCCAACTTGTTGGCTCCTTGCTCAACCCTCCCGCCCCTCCCCTCCGCAGGTGCGGCAGGGCAAGGTGACCCGGCAGGGCAAGTTCAAGCCCAACAGCGTCACGTACAGGACCAAATCCGGCAACATCTTGCTGCACAAGTCCACCATCAACAGGTTGGGTGGTGGGAAACGGGGGCAGGATGGGGCAGGGCAGCCAGCTGGGGTGGCCCTCACCCAGCCCTGTCCCCCTCCCCCCCCATTCCAGGGAGGCCACACGGCTACGGAGCCGGTGGCTCACATATTTCATGGCGGTCAAGTCCAACGGCAGCGTGTTCGTGCGCGACTCATCGCAGGTGCACCCGCTCGCCGTGCTGCTCCTGACCGACGGCGACGTGCACATCCGTGGTGAGTACCTGCCCTCCCTCCCCCCCCATGTGCCCGGCGCTGCCCTCCCCCGTTCATCCCCCCCTCCGCTGCTGTTCCTTCCTTCCTTCCTTCCTTGTCCAGATGATGGGCGCCGCGCCACCATCTCGCTGAGTGACAGCGACCTGCTGCGCCTGGAAGGCGACTCGCGCACCGTGCGCCTGCTGCGGGAGCTGCGGCGCGCGCTGGGCCGCATGGTGGAGCGGAGCCTGCGCAGCGAGCTGGCCGCGCTGCCGCCCATGGTGCAGCAGGAGCACGGGCAGCTGCTCGCGCTGCTGGCCGAGCTGCTGCGGGGACCCTGCGGCAGCTTCGACGTGCGCAAGACGGCCGATGACTGAGCCCCCCCTCTGCCGGGCGGGGGGCTGTGTACAGAGTGCAAATGTTTATTTAAAATAAAGTTCTATTTATCCCTTGTGAGCATTGCTGTCCGCTCGGGGCTCCTCTCAGCACCATCTGGACCCTGACTCCAGGTGAAGAAAGAGGCGAGGATGGATAGGAGATCGAGGTGCTGGTGCGTGCATCCTGGGCTAGTTGTGGCTTCAGGCCAAGGTGTGGCAGAGTAGCCTGGCACCCCGTCTTCCCCAGCCATGACCAACTAGGCCCCACTGCTCGGCCAGCCCCCATGTTGACAACTCCACAGCAAGTGTGGAGCATCCCAGACTCTTCCCCACCAATAGGTGGGGGTGGGGGGCTCAGTGGGTATGCAGGGCAGGAAGACTTAGGTGGCCAGCGGAAGGGCACGGACGCCACAGAAGCCACAGAGGACCGGGGAGTGGTGGGACATCAGGCAGCTTTATTTGACTTCAAATCAGTACAACAGAATCACAGACACAGGTAATAATGGCCAAGCCACGAGCAAATCCAATCAAGAGGCATGTCCCACCCCCCTACCCCCCCCCAAATGGTCGTCAAAGTCGTACACATCACACGGGGCCTGTGGTCCCCATTTACTAAGGCCAGGCCAGCCTTCTCTCCTGGCCCAAGAACACTCACCACTCAATGCAGTTCACCTAGAGCGCTCTACCCAGCCCTTGGCTGAAAGGACTCAGAACCTGCTCTGCTGGCCACTGCCAGCCTGCCGATGGACACCAAGGCAGGTGGCAGGCACCATGAGGTCTGGTTTTCACCTTGCCTCCTCTTCCTTTGCTGATAAACACTGGTAACCCAAGGCCCCTGGCCCTGGCATTGTGCAGCTGTCCCCCTGCCCACCCCCCTGCCCAGCTCAGGCTTCTGCAAATCTAGTATGTGTTTAGCCATAGGGTGGCAAGCCTCAACAAAGAAATCACTGCCTCACCAAACCTGAGGACCCTCAGGCTGAGGAAATCCGATCTCAACCTAAAGCCAACACCTCTACCTTTCTTTCTTGAGGGCCAGGGCGTGCAGGAAGCAGAGGTGGAAGCTTGCAAGGCCCGAGGTCTGGGCAAGTCTGCACAGCAGAAAATGCCCCTGGCGGGAGCCCTCAGAAAAACCCCTAGGCCATTTCACTACAAACTTGGATTTTAATCCTTTATTAGAAACCATGCAAACTTTTCATACAAAAATACAAGTGCAATAAAAATTTTTTTTGAGGGGGGGTTGATAAGATTCCCGGGACTTTTTCATCATCGCAACCACCCTACAAGCGGAACTAGTTACAGATGGGCACCCTCCATGCGCTGGCCTCCCCCTCCCCACCAACTCCCCAGTCCTCCAGTCAGGCCACAAGGCAGAGGTGGGGTGGGCCTTCCATCACACCTCTTATTTATTCTGTTGATTTCTACACCTGATTCCCCAGTGGCCACAGGAGTTCTGGACCTTGTGGGCACCCGTGGAGACTAGGGTTGCGTGCCTAAGCCCTGCCAGCATTGGGCCTAAAGGAGTTCTGACCCCCCACAGGCCCTTTCCTGTTGACTGTCAGATCCCGAGGAATGGGACAGATTAAGATGCCCAAACCAGCCTGTTGGGTTAGAAAAGCAGCATCCACACCAAATGCCAACACAAAGCAGTCCGTACTGATCAGCTCTAGTCTGCCCCTTGAAGGGGCCACAGCCCACACCTCATTCCCCCCCTGGCCCACAGCACCTTCAGGGCTCCAAGCTGCCCAGAGCAGGGGGCAGCCTCCCAACACAGCCTCCACAAGCTGGAGGTTCAGGACCTTCCCTCCCTCGTCTCCTTTTATCACCTACTAAGGACTCTCATTTAGACATGGCTTCACCCTGCAAACTACATCAGCAGTTTATAGGTTACTAGGGGGAAGCAGATATATATATATATAAAGAATAAAACAAGGGGTGTGGGGGGGGAGTGACAGCAGCTTGGTAGGTATGGTAAGCAGCGGAACAGGCAACACAGGCCCCTAACTAACTTGGGGCAGGGCAGCGAGAGGGCCGGGCCCACTTAGCGTGGTGGCTGGTGCTGTGGGGTCAGAGGCAGAAGCTTCGTGGGCTGGGGGAGGGGGAAGGTGTGTGGAATCTACCTCCAGGCTCACCCAAGGAGGAGGAGGAAGAGGAATAATGTCAGTTTCTTTGGGGTTTGGTCCAAAAAAACCAAACAGAAAGAGGTTGGAATCCAGTTCTCCCTCCTGGAACCCACGGGATTCCCAGGCCCTCTCCATTTGCCTTCTCCACAGGAAGTTAAGATGCGCAGTGATGGAAGAGGAGCTAAGTTGGGAGCTGGGCCCTGGCAGGAAGTGGCAGGGGGCGGGGACAAGGGCGGGGGCGGGGCTACTGCTGCCCTGAGCAAGCAAGGTGAGGAGGGAAGGAAGGGGACCTAGAAGGCTCACAAGTCTAGTGGACAGCCCGGGGAAGGGAGCCGAGGGCCCGGGAGACAATGTCAGCCCCATGGTCGGTGCGCGCCCTGGCGTTTGCCCGGAAGGTCAGCCTGTACGTCTCAATCTGCAGTGACACGGGAGGAGGGGAAGGGAAAGGGGAATGGGGAAGACGAGAGGGAAGACGAGACCAGAATGTCATCGTTAGATGCCTGGAAAATAAAAGGTGATTTTTGTTAAAATAAAAGTAAATAAAAAAGGTAGGCCACACTTTTGAGGCAATCAACAAAGGCCTTTCCAAGTGGCAGCCAGTGGCGGGGCCCCTGGCTCGTGGCCTTTTAGGCCCAGCCCAGCCACTTACTTGTCTCCTGTATCTGGCTGTCCAAGGTCTGGGCCTCCCTTTGGTCACCACCCCCTGAGAAGGGGGTGGAGCTGCTGAGGCCACTGGCAGAAGTAGAGGTGCCAGCTTCCGGCACGGCCTCACAGATGGCAGGCTCCTCCCCAGCGGGAGGGCCCGGACACGGAGGGGCCTGGCTGCCACCGCCCTCAGTCTACAATGAAACAGTGGGAGGGGGGAGACAAATGCAGGGTCAGTTGGGGAGGGAGTGGAATGGGTGATGGTGGGGAGGTTCACAAATGGCTCCCCCCACCCCTGGCCTCTGCCCCCTGTCACCTGGAGAAAACAAACAGTGGTTCTGATGGTAGATCATCAACTAAGCCCAAGACCAGCCCCAGCCTGCACCTGGCTGGGTCGTGTAGGTTCTGCCGACCATCCCTGACCTGTGCGCACCAATACACGAGTCCTCGCCCTATATAGCATGGGCTTAGAAAGGGACCTGGAAACTCACAGGGCACCCCGCTCTGGCTCATCACAGTCTGGTCTCAAATATCCCTCACACACCAGCAGCTGCTTCTGCGCTGGCTACCACTAGCAGACCCCAGGAGGGAAAGAGGAGGTAAGACCTGCAGAGCTTTAGGGTGACATCTGGAGGACACTATGCACAAAGTGAAGCCAGACTAGGAAAGAGCACCAGCAGGAGGTCTCTGGCATCCCAGAATGCCCAACAGGTTGGTCAGTGAGTAGGGAAGGAGACAGACAAGTGTATTAAAAAAAAAAAAACAAAAAAACTAAGAAATCAGGTGCCTGTGGCTCACACCTAGCTACTCAGGAGGCTGGGCAGGAAAGTCCATGAGACTCTTATATTCAATAAACCACTAGAAAAAACCAGGAGTGGCACTGCGGCTCAAGTCGTAGGGCACTCGCCTTGAGCGAGTGCCTGAAGAGTGCAGGGACAGTGCCCAAGCCCAGAGTTCAAGCCCCATGACTAATCAAAAAACAGTGGTAGATGGGGCTGGGAAGGTGGCTCAGTGGTAGAGCGCTTGCCTTGCATGCCTGAGGCCCTGGGTTCGATTCCTCAGCACCACATAAGCAAAAAGAAAAAAGCCGGAAGTGGCACTGTGGCTCAAGTGGTAGAGCGCTAGCCTTGAGCTGAAGAGCTGAGGGACAGCGCCCAGCCCAGAGTTCAGATCCCACAACCGGACCCCCCCAAAAAAAAAAAAAAACAGTGGTAGAGTGCTAGCTTTGAGCAAAAGAGCTCAGGGACAGTGCCTAGGCCCTGAGTTCAAGCCCCAGGACAGGCACATGCAAGAAAGGGGAAGTAATATAAATAAAGCTGGGAAGTGGGGGGGGGGCCCAGGTGTTAATCCTGGCCTGTATTCACCTTGCCATATGGCCTTGAACCAGAGATCAAACCTGTCTCCCCATGAGCTGACTCCAGAAGGGCTGCATCACAAGGTGTGGGGACATGAACTGAGCACTTCAACAAGGCAAGAATCAGGATAGGACAAGAGGCAAGGCTGAGGGGTGGCCACCTGTGGGTGAGCCTCTCCCACAGGGTGTTGTCCACCTCTGACCATCTCTAAGAGGCTGCCCCATGGGTCTTCCCGCCCAGCATGATATGGAACACAGGACAGACAGTATCCTAGGGCACATGGAGTCTCACAGTACTGTGGAAGGAGAGAGGGAGGGAGGGAGGAAAGAGGAGAGGGAAGGAAAGGAGAAGAGGTCCAGCCAATGCCAACCATGGGAGAACTCTGCCACCAGGACTCTCTCCCCCAGAGCCTAGCCACATGTGGGTCCAGAGGCCACACCAGACCTGCCACAGCTGGCTGGTGGAATCATGGCATCCTGATGGAGGATATAGTGCCGTGGCCGAGCACACGTGCCCAGCACACACAACCTCCGTCCGTGGCGCCAAAAATCAAAGAAAGGACAGGGCTGGGAAGGTGGCTCAGTGGGAGAGTGCTTGCCTCGCAGGCATGAGGCCCTGGGTTTGATGGCTCAGCACCACAGAATCAGGGGGAAAAAAACAAAAACTGGAAGTGGTGCTGTGGCTCAAGTGGCAGAGCGCTAGGCTTGAGCTGAAGAGCTGAGGGACAGCGCCCAGGCCCAGAGTTCAAGCCCCACGACTGACAAAAAAAAAAAAAGGGACATTTGTCACAAGGGAAAAGGGAAGGGAAGAGAAAAGGAAAGGAAAAAGGAAAAAAAAAAAGAGAGAGAAACAATGGCATGTTGCGCCCATGCCCAGAAAGGAGCATGACATGGAGCAGGTACACACAAGCCCTCCTCTTCCACGAGCTAGGACTGCCTGCCTTGTCCTCTGTGCCTGGCTCAGTCCCTAAGGGGCATTACAAGGCAGGCTGTAATGCTCAGAAGCAACATCTGGCCAGCAGCTGGCACAGGTGACTGGGCTGAGTCTCTTCACCTCTTCTGCCTCGCTCAGGACTAAGGAATGATGGGAAAACAAATGGTGGGTGAAGTGTGACCCCTGAAGAGACTGAGTAGCGGTGACAGGCACCCCCCCCCCGCCCCCAGATCCTAGCTGCGTAGTGTCCCCACCACCCCGGCCATGTCCTCTTGGTGACACAACTCATACCTTCACAGCACCCCCTGCAGGGAGGTGGCCTACGTTATCGAGAGATCCCACTTTGGCCTGGGCCTTCTCTTTGAAGTTTAACTTCTGACTCTCAATCTTGACATCTCCTCCACCTGGAGCCAAAAAGGAAACAAACAAACAGACTGATTTGGTCCTGAAAATGGTCCAGAGATATCCGTGGCATGGCAGGAGCTAGGAACGGGACCCCGAGCTTCGCGGGAACACAGTCCCTGGGCGAGCATGCTCCTCTCCCTGAGACGCGGGCCAATGCTGTCAGCCGTGTGGTATGCACGCACGCACGCGCGCACGCGCGCACACACACACACACACACACACACACACACACACGAGCAGAGTATGAATATCGGCACAGGAAGGTGTTTGTGGCAGCCTTTGGAAGCTGTCCTTCCTCCACTTGACAGGGGTTGAAAACTGTGTGGCCCACTTTACCCCGTAGGCAGAGGGGTCTCCAAATATTTGGAGCCTAAAAGGCCGCCCAGCCAGAGAAGCCGCCCGGTGGGGCCGTGTCCCTGGGGCTGAGTCACTCACCAGGCTTGTGTCTGATGTTAGCCCTGGACCCACACTTGGAGGAGACCTTGGAGATGTCTACTTTCTTGTTCTGAATCTGAACCTAAACAGAAGAACAGGAAGCAATCAGGTCTCGAGAGTCAATGATTGGTGGAACTGGCTTGGAATTTTACCATTGGAGAGGCTGAGGGCTGGCCTGGTATGTAAAGGGACTCTGTCTATATCAACAGCAAGGGGAGGGAAGGAGGGAGGAAGCAAGAGAGACAGAAAAATAAAAACGTTACGGCAAGAAAAGGCCAAATCGATTCAACCTTTTGAAATACTCCTCGTACTTAATGTTTAATTATTGCTTTATTATTATCTTTCCTGCCCAGGCTGGCTTTGAACCATGATCCTCAGATCTCAGACCCCTGAGTAGCTAGGGTTACAGGCATGAGCCACCAGCACCCGGCTGTTTCTTTATTATTATTTTGTTTTGATATGGTTTGGCCAGTCCCAGGTGCTGTCCCTGAGCTTTTGTGTTCAAAACTAATGCTCTCTACCACTTGAGCCACAGGTCCACTTCTGGCTCACAGACTTTCCTTCCCTGGCTGGCTTTGAACCATGACTCTCAGAGCTCAGGTCTCAGCCTCCTGAGTAGCTTGGCATGGGCCACTGGCCCCAGCTCATTAATTAATTAATTAATTAATTTAAGTCAGTTGTGGGGCTTGAACTCTGGGTCTGGGCACTGTCCCTCAACTCTTCAGTTCAAAGCTCTACCACTTGAGCCACACTGCCACTTCCAGCTTTTTTTGTTTATGTGATGCTGAGGAATCGAACCCAGGGCCCCATGCATGCGAGGCAAACACTCTACCACTGAGCCACCTTCCCAGCCCCATTATTTTTATTTCTGAGAGTAGGGAGATATTGATGTACTATTCCCATTCATGCATATAGTGTACTCACTTTGAACAAATTCTCTCCACCAGATTCCCCATTCTTCCCTTCATGCTCCTCCCTTCTCCACCTTACCCCCCATGCTAGTTTTGCCAATGGCAGGTACTTCCCATAATACTTAAAGAGCTGGAGGCATGGCTTAGTTGGATGCGCATCAGCCAATGAGCAAGTTGTCAGGTACTAAGTCTGAGTCCTGGTCTCCAATAACACCACCACCCTAACTCTGTTTTTTTACGTCTGACCTCACTGTCCTGTAGACTACGCCACTATTCCCCACCTCTGCCCCACCAGCCTCTCCATCCACCCCCCACATAGGCATTTTACTGCTGAACATGCATGCCGAAAGCCACCGTCTCGGCTTTCCTGGAAGGAACTTGAAATCGGATTCATCATTAGCTCCCTGTCCGATGATGGGAGTAACATTTTGGCATATTTCCTTCTAGTTCTTTTTTTTTTGGCCAGTCCTGGGGCTTGAACTCAGGGCCTGGGCACTGTCCCTGAGCTTCTTTTGCTCAAAGCTAGCACTCTACCACTTGAGCCACAATGTCACTTCTGGCTTTTTCTATGTATGTGGTACTGAGGAATGGAACCCAGGGCTTCGTGCACGCTGGGCAAGCACTCACCACTAAGCCACCTTCCCAGCCTTTTTCCCTGTGGCTGCCACCTAGAGTCCTGATGACTTCCTGTGGCAAATCAGCCACTCATCTATAATGCCCTATAGAACTTTAATCCTATTCCTAATTTTCAACGTTACTTTCCTATTTTTCACCTCTATCAACGTGGCAGGATAAAGATCTCTATGGCTACAGGTGTTTGTGCCAGAGGTTTAGTCATTTGGATAAAGACTGAGACTATATATTCAGGTTTTTTGCTTTGTCGGTCATGGGTCTTGGACTCTGGGCCTGGGCGCTGTCCCTCAGCTCTTCAGCTCAAGCCTAGTGCTCTACCACTTGAGCCCACAGGGCCACTTCTGGTTTTCTGGTGGTTTATTGGAGATAAGAGTCTCACAGTCTTTCCTACCTGGGCTGGCTTTGAACCATGATCCTCAGATCTCAGCCTCCTGAGTTACTAGGATGACAGGCGTGAGCCACAGGCATCCAGCTCTATATTCGGGTTTTGTTTGGTGTTTTCCGTTGAATGCCAAAATACTTTCCAGAAATGCCTCCACTGGTGCCTCTTCCAGTAAACTCACCATATCCTTCAGATTTGAGCTGAGTGCTGGAGTGCTGGTGGCTCACACCTGTCATCCTAGCTACTCAGGAGGCTAAGATCTGAGGACTGCAGTTCAAAGCCAGCCTGGGCAGGAAAAGTCTATGAAACTCTTGTCTTCAATAAACCACTAGAAAACTGGAAGTGGCACTGTGGCTCAAGTGGTAGAGCACTAGCCTTGAGCTGAAGAGCTAAGGGACAGAGCCCAGGTCCAGGGTTCAAGCCCCACAACCGACAAAAAGTTAAATAAATAAAAGAAAGAAATAGGTTATAATATTGCTGAAGTGGTAGAGTGTCAACCAAGCAAGCAAGCCCTGAATTCAGGCTCAGATCTTTCAGGTTTTTCTACCCAAGCTTGCCTCTGTTCTCAGCCTTCTGATTAGTTACAATTATAGGCATGAGCCACTGGCCCCTGGCTTGAACTATCTTACTGATCACTCCAAAAATTAATCATCAAAAAACTGGAAGTACAGGGACTGGGAAGGTGGCTCAGTGGTAGAGCGCTTGCCTCACATGCATGAGGCCCTGGGTTCGATTCCTCAGCACCACATAAGCAGAAAAAAAAAACAAAACTGGAAGTACAGCTGTGGCTCAAAGTGTTAGCCGTGAGTGAAAAAGCTATGGGACAAGCATCCAGGCCCTGACTTCAGCCCCAATATGGACATACACACTCACAGCTCTTAAATACTGTACAAAATACAGCAGTGAATTTTCTGTCACATACACAAGTGGCTCAATACCCTCGGAATCCCTGCCCCCCCCACACCATGTCCCTCCAGGTCAAGAACCCAAGAGGAAAACTGCATCAGCCCTACCAGGCTGGTCCTTCAAAGTCCGACCCCATTCCCAGATTGGCTAATGTGTGACCAATCCCAGCTCGGTACAGAGGAGGCCACACCTTCTCGGAGCAGGAATTGCTGCTGGAGAGGAGCTGATGGGGAAGGCGGTACAAGCAGGGTAGAGGAGGAGAAACCATACTAGGGCGGCTGCTCCTGATGGTAGAATGGCAGGAGGGATCTGCAGGCTGGACAGATGTCCCTATGTACCCTGGGGAACTGGGGCACAGAGTGGGAAAAAGAGAAGGCCAAGTGGAACCGGACAACCCAGTTGAATACAGGGAGAGGGAAGCGAGTGAAAGTGAAGAGGGAACTCAAGAGAAAACAACTAGGTCTTCTCTCTTAGCCACAACACTGGGGGCAGTCAGGAGGGCAGGGGCTATGTGGATGGCCCTGGAACAGGTATGCACCTGGATCAGGCCTGCAGAGTCACAGGGGTAGGTAGGAAATGCACAGGGGGTTCTTGACTCACTAAATAACCATGATGAACTTTGCTCAGACCAAAGCCTCCTGAGGACTGAAATCACCCCGGGGCCCGAACACAAATAGTACAACTGGTAACAGAAAAGCAGCAGCACCAAGAGAAGTTTAGGTGGAAAGGGGGAGGGACAAAAAGGAAAGGAAAAGGGACTAAAAAGGGGGAACTAAAAAAAAGGGGGGGGGAAATAATATGAATGCTGGTAGCTTATACCTCCAACCTAAAATGTTGGGGAGGCTAATATTGGGAGGCTGGCAGTCTGAGGCTATCCTGGGCAGAAAAGTGAATGATGAGGGCTGGGAAGGTGGCTTAGCGGTAGGGTGTTTGCCCAGCACGCATGAAGCCCTGGGTTCAATTCCTCAGCACCACACACATGAAAAAAAACCAGAAGTGGCGCTGTGGCTCAAGTGGTAGAGAGCTAGCCTTGAACAAAAAAAGCTCAGGGACAGTGCTCAGGGCTCTGAGTTCAAACCCCAGGACTGGCACAGAAATAAGATAAAAGTGAATGAGATTCCCCCTTAACAGAACTGGATGCGGTAGCACATGCCTAGGATCCTAGCTGTGATAGAAAGCTCACCTGGCCTGGTCATATCCGGGCATATGCCCAGGCAAGAAGTGGGACCCTATCGCAGAAATAACCAGCAAAGCTGGGCACTGGCGGCTCATGCCTGTAAGTCCTAGCTATCCTAAAAGATAGTGGTTCAAAACCAGCCTTTCTGGGGCTGGCTCAGTGGTAGAGCGCTTGCCTTGCATGCATGAGGCCCTTGGTTCGATTCCTCAGCACCACATAAGCAAAAAGAAAAAAGCCCGAAGTGGCATTATGGCTCAAGTGGTAGAGTGCTAGCCTTGAGTTGAAGAGCTGAGGGACAGTGCCCAGGCCCAGAGTTCAGGCTCCACGGCCGGACCCAAAACAAACAAACAAACAAACAAACAAACCAGCCTTCCTTCCCCTACCCCACCAAAAAAAAAGGAAGGCTGAGAGAGTCTCTTCTCAATGAATTAGCAAAATATGGGACTGGAGGTGTGGCTCAAGTGGTAGCATGCCAATCAAATTCACCACCCTGAATTCAGCGCCCTGAACTCAAGCCCTGGTACCAGCACAAAAACAAACAGAAAGCAAGCTGAGCCAAAAACAGAGCTGGAGGTATGACTAAGCGGTAGGAGGCCTCTACTTCACAACTCAGCATTGCCCAAAAAAAGAGAAAAAGCAAGCCGGACACCAGTGGCTCATGCCTGTAATCCGAACAACTTAGAAGGTTGAGATCTGAGGATCACGGTTCAAAGCCAGCCGGGGCAGGAAAGTTCATGAAACTCTTATCTCCAACCTGAAAACCAGAAGTGGTGCTATGGCTCAAGTGGTAGAGCACTCGCCTGGAGCTGAAGAGCTGAGGGACAGTGCCCAAGCCGAGTTCAATCCCCATGACTGCCAAAAGAAAAAAGAAAAAAGAAAAAAAGAAAAGGACAGTGGGAAGGAATTGGGAGGGGAGAAGAGGGAGGACATCGGTGGCTCTTGCCTGTAATCTCAGCTACTCAGGAGGCTGAGGTCCAAAGATCATGGCTTAAGCCAGCCTGGGCAAGAATGTCTATGAGACTTTGTATTTCCAATGAACCACCAGAAAGCCGGAAGTGGCGCTGTGGCTCAAGTGGTAGAGCACTCGCCTTGAGCTGAAGAGCTGAGGGACAGCGCCCAGGCCCAGAGTTCAAGCCCCATGACCGA